TTGGGGAGAGCATCTCTGGGGGAATGCATCCTTCAGCCTTAGGAAGAGCATCCCTGGCCCCAGGGAGAGCCTCCTTCCACCCTGGGGAGGGCATCCCCCAGGGAAAGCATCCCTGGCCAGGGCAGTGCCTGCACCAGCTGGGGCTCAGGAGAAGGTGACCACCTCACCCTGGGGGTAACTGGAAGCAAGGGTGTTGTCCTGGCAGGAATCTGCAATTAAAGACATAAACATTAAACACAGAATTAGAGATCTGTTTCCATGAGGTGTGTAGGGGGAGAAATAAGAGAGGAAGAGGGACACTGAGCTTCCAGGGGACCCCAGAGTAACCACAAAGTAAAGGGGCCTTTTTCAGAGGGATAAAACGCTGCTGTTGCATCTGTAAGTCAGGGAAAAATGGTTTTAAAAAGCCTCAGGATGGTGGCAGAGATGGAGACTTGGGAAATGATTCTCCATGAATAACATGAGAAAGCATGCATGGAATCAGGGTGATTTTAAGGGTATAAATGAAAAGCAGGGGGAAAGCATCACCCTCACCACATCCCTCTCCTCCCAGAAAGCTGCTCTTGCCCAAAACTTCCCAAGCCAACCCCAAAGCAGATGTCCCAAAGCCAAGCCTGGTGCATTAATCTCTCAGTGTTTTTTTCCTCTCCCTCTCTCCCTCTCATTTGTTATCATTGAATTAATTATCATTGATTGGAGCTCTGAGTCACCCCCCTCCCCGCCTCTCCCCATGTGCCAGGGCCCAGTTTCCAGGCAAGGGGCTGTCAGGCAGGGAGACAGCTCCTGATCCACCTGATAAACCACGAAATTCCACTTTAAACCTCAGCCCCAGCTCCTGCTCATGGGTTTGACCCAACACATCTCCAAAAACTCCTCCTTTCCCACAAAAGAAAGGTTTCCTCCATCCAGCATCACTGGGTGAGAAATGGCCCAAGCATGGAGGCTTTTCAAACCTCATTCCCATAAAACCCCAGGGATGAAAGGAGTTTTCCTCCTGGAGCTCCCCACCTCCAAAGACAAATCAGTTTGGGGACTCAAGAAAATCCCCCTGCAGCAATTTGGGGACCAGCAGCTGCTGAAAAATACCCCAGCTCCTGGTTCAGCACTGCTGCAAGCAGCTAAAAGCTCTTGGCAGGGTTTGTGTCCTGCTAGAAACATTCCCCATCAGGTCGATTGATTTACCAGGGGCACGACTTGGCTTTTAACTCCCATCTCCTCCTCCCTGCTCAAAGCCATTTTGTGTGTGAGCTCGAGACCTGCTGCCCACAGCCTCCAGGGACCTGCCTTGGAAAGCAGCTTCCCAGCCTAGGAAAGAAATTAGCACCACTAAAAATAAATAACAACAGCCCAGATTTTTATTTCTTTGTCCCCCAGAGCAAACAGCCCTCCTGTCTTGGCTTATGGGTACCAGCTCTGCTCTCACCCTCAGAGATGTGCTACCCTTTCCTCAAGCCTATTTTGGGGTGCAGATCTGCCACCAGCCTCCACAGAGTGCTGCCCTGAGCAAGGCAGGAGGTTTGGCACAGCCTGGCACAGCCTGGCACAGCTCAGCCCCAAATACCCCCAGGTTTGCTGTGCTGCTCCCAGAGCCACCCCCCCTCCAAATTTCCCCTCATGAGGAGCTCACCCAATCCTGCCCTCCTGCTTTGAGCATCTCCTCAGACAGCCTGAAGTGCTGCTGGGGGGGCTGCCAGCTGTGCCAGCTGTGCCAGCTGTGCCAGCACAATGTTTGGGTAGGTCTCACTCTGCTCTGCTCTGGCACAGCAGCCCTGAGGACGAGGATTTGGGGGTGTTGGGGGATGAGCATCTCAGCAATCCCCATCCATGTGTGCTGGACCCAGAACCCTCCAGGTGATCACCCAGCCTGGGCAGCTCAGGTGAGACCCCACCTGCAGATCTGCTCCAGCTCTGGCTCCAGCATCAGGAGGATTTGGAGCCAGGCTGGGAGAGCTGGGGGTGCTCACCTGGAGAGGAGAAGGTTCCAGGGAGAGCTCAGAGCCCCTTGCAGGGCCTGAAGGGGCTCCAGGAGAGCTGCAGAGGAGCTTTGGAGAAGGGGGAATAGCATCTCACTGTCAGAGGGCAGGGATGGATGGGATATTGGGAATTAGCAATTGTTCCCTGGCAGGGTGGGCAGGCCCTGGCACAGGTGCCCAGAGCAGCTGTGGCTGCTCCTGGATCCCTGGAATTGTCCAAGGCCAGGCTGGACAGGGCTTGGAGCAACCTGGGATGGTGGAAGGTGTCCCTGCCACAGCAGGAGCTGGAATGGGATGGAATTCAAGGCCCCTTCCTACACAAACAATTCCCTGAATCTGTGATTATATTTGCACATCCACCAGGACACATTCCCTGCTCCACAGGTGAGGGACAAGTTCCTATAACACACTCAATGCTCATCCCTGGGATTCCTGCTCAATCTCATTGCCCTGCCAGGAACGAGATCCAGCACACCCATCCCATCCCATCCCATCCCATCCCATCCCATCCCATCCCATCCCATCCCATCCCATCCCATCCCATCCTAGCCCCAGGTCCCCTTTCCATGCTGCCATGCCCCACAATCACTGCAAACTCCTTAATGTTATTTTTTAAAATCCATTTTAGGGCTTGGGCAGGAGCAATTGCACTCCTGTGGATTTATGCAGTATTTTGGGAATAAATCCAACAACTTGGCTTTCTCTTGGTGCCTTTACACTGGGCAGGAATGTGAGCAGGTCCCTGCCCCTGCCTGTCCCACACAGGAGGAAGTGTCGCCCTCTTCCCAGGAGCTCACAGATCCTTTCTGAGCCCCCATTTACCTTTTCCATGGGTAAAACCTTGGGCTCAGTTGCCCGGGTGGGGATAAGGAAGTAACAGACTGGGAGCTGGGAGGCTCCTATTTATAAGCTCCTCTGCATCCTATTTTGCATCTGCCTCTGCTCTCCCCGCTCCTCCTCAGCACGGGCAAGCCATGGGGTTGCTATTTATTTTCTGTTTTCCTTTATTGTCATCAAATAAGCAGCGAGGATTTTTCCTGGCAGAGCTGGGGAAGCCAGGAACAGGCTCCTTCTGGGTAGAGCAATTACTCTCCTGACATCTTCACCTCCTGCCCGCCTGCCTGACAGGCCTTTCTATTTCCTCAGCTCTCTCAGGCATCTCCCAAGAAACAGAGCAGTTGTTGCAACAATAAAAATTAATACTTTGCAAGCAAGCTGGGATCATGGTGCAGCCTCCACGCAGTGCTGGACTGAGAGTGTTCCAGGGGGAAAAGAGAAGGAAGGAGCTGAGGTTGGAGCAGGGAACTGCTCCCAAATCCTCCTGAGCCAAAGGCTGCTCTGGTTTGGCTCCTTGCACAGGGGTGGGTGGTCACAGGGGCTCAATCTCAGTCCCAAAGAGGGCAGAGGAATGTGAGGAGCCCACCAGGGCCGCCTGGTGTCACCCAGCGCCTCTGGAGTGTTCCATGCGAGGCTGGGCAGAGGTTGGAGCAGTCTGGTCCAGAGGAAGCTGTCCCTGCCCTTGGTCCTTCCAACCCAACCATTCCATGACTCCATCATCTCTGGTCCTGTTCCCACTGCTAAGCATCACATGTGTCCCCATGGTGGGGAGAGGGACAGGGGGCACTGGAGCTCTGTGGGGTCTCACCCTGCTGAGCAGCCCACTGTCCCTGTGAGGGTGGGCAGATCCTGGCACAGGTGCCCAGAGCAGCTGTGTCTGCCCTTGTATCCCTGGCAGTGCCCTAGGCCAGGTTGGAGAGGGCTTGGAGCAGCCTGGGATGGTGGAAGGTGTCCCTGCCGAAGGCAGTAGCTGGAATGGGATGGAATTTAAGGTCTCTTCCTGCCTAAACAATTCCCTGACTCTGTGATAACTTTTTCACAGCCCTCAGGACACATTCCCTGCTCCACAGGTGAGGGACATGTTCCTATAACACAC